GCTACAGGAGATTGCCACTAGCTGCAGCTGCCATGATGCCACTCAGCCGAAACACGGCTGCTAACAGTTCCTATCGAGAGGTACAGTACCAAGCTGCAGCCAGCTCCACGGAAGTTTGGCAGCGCACCGTATCCAATACCACGGCAGGTAGCACCCCGGCCTGCAATGAGTCATAGTAGTAATATCATTACCAAACTGCCCCTCCCCAGCACCACAAGGCCGTGACAGACGTCGTGGGCATAGGGCAAAGTGTACAACAGAAGTAAGTGCTACTCCGAGCATTCGGCAACCCCGTTGACCTTAGCAGTGGCAAGCCAGCTTTAGCACGGCCTTCACATGCAAGTGCCCGGCTGCAGTGCTGCCGACTTCGGTAACACGTCAATAGAAGGGCGAAGACGGCCACTATAGGCCAACTCTCAATCCATCCTGCAGTCTGAGCCCAACCATGGGCAACAGTGTGACTACCACCGATAGCTCGGTGCTATCAAAACCGCACGATGCGGCTGACTTCGCAACGTATCACAGTACGTCACCACCGTCCACCCCACTGGCCGCGGCTGCTCATGTTCGCTCCTCTCTCTCAAGACCCCAGGCTCACGCTCCGACCTCTCACGGTAAGTGTAGCCTCCCCCTCTCCCTGATTACATGCTTTCTTATCTCGCTCCTGCGCCTCTTTACGGTACGAACCCGGCTCCGCCTCTCTGCCAAGTTGGGGCACAGGTCGTGCCGCAGCTCGCAGTCCGGTTTACCTCGCAGTGCCGGCTCCGCTGTGCTCGGTAGGGCTAGCGAGAGACTACCTCCACCAACAGGCCGATCAGCACACTGAGCAAAAGGAGAGTCTCCAACCTCGCTCCCTCCTTTTCTCAATGCGTTACCGACGTACCTGGCCCTCTACTCGGCCATGTTCACACCACTTTGCGGCCAACTGCAGGCGGGTAGGTAAGCTTCCGCCTCCCCTTTTTCACCTTTTCTCTCTCTCTATGCTAACCACGCACCTCCCTGCCTCGTACCTGCGCTCCTTTATTGTGCGGACCTGGCCCCGCACTTCGGTCAGGTCAAGGCGCAATTCGTCATCGTAGCTTGGGATTCGGTTCGCCCCACACCGCCAGTACAACTACATACGCAGAAGATAGCGGGAGGTTACTTCCACTAATGGGATGAGCAATACACCCACCTATGGGTAAGCCTCCTGCCTCGCTCCTAACTTTACGCCGCTCCTATCGAACGGCTGAGCAAAAATCGTGATGAATCTTCCGCAAAAAATCGGAAGTATTCATCGCCTCTCAAAACCCATCTTCTCCGCACAGTCATTCTTCCTTATGCCGCTAGAACTAACAACTAATTTCCAAATCTAACCTCGCCATTCAATTCGCCACATCCTAAAACATCAATTTCCCATTTTACTTCACTCGATTCTATAAAGAATCGACCAAAGTATCGTTCCCTCTTCCTATCATGCCTGCTCTCCTCGACGCGCGGCCCCACTCCCTACTAACTCTCATTCTACTGACCTTCGTCTAAAACTAACCTCGTAGCCCTACTCGCCTTGGCCTAGAACCCCCGTCTCACTTCTTCCCCCGCTCGATTCCACAAAGAATCGAGCGAGACTTCCGACTTCCTATTTCTGCCATCCCCATCATCCCGTCATCTTCATGCACCTTCTTCTCCTACTAACTCTAGATCTACTAATCTTCTCCCAAATCTATCATCGGCATTCGATTCGCTGGGGGTCAAAACCCCGAACCTGCATCTTCTTCCTCTCGATTCCGTTCAGGATCGAGAGCGCTATGTCTTCTTGACCCCGCCCGGCTCCTCCTTTCTGCCATCCCCGGTTCGACTGCACCTGGCGCGATTTTGCGTCCAGGTTCACTCATCTCCCTCACTACCTCTGCACCCCCTATCCTACCACTCCGCCCTCTCGCTCGCCTCCGCCGGCCTCTTCACTCCCCGGCGCTCCGCCCCGTTTCTTCTGCCATCTGCCGCCTCCGACAGCAGCGATCCTGTAATAGCGGAGGGGCCTGTCTCACAACTTCGGCTACTCTGAGGGACGCCTCAGAGGGGACCCGGCTACCAACCAGTTCAAAGGCCTTTCCGGGAGCAGTTTTGCGCCTCCCCTTTTGGAGGTATATCTTCAGCCCTGAGCGAAAACTGCGGACATTCGTAGGAGAGGGGACCGGAGGAGGAGAGGCACAATGGCCAGCCCATCGAAGAAGCTCGGTCTAAATGCTACCGGCTGGCCCCTGGCCGGTATCACCCTCCTGCTACAGCAGATATCGGCCCCCCCTGCTGGTGGGGGCAGTCCCCGCATGTTCCCTCGTTGGAGGCTTGAACACAGATGTGGCCACTACAGGGTCCCCCAGAATACGGTAACGGGGTAAGCTCAGCGCGGCCACGAAAACGGTGCGTGGTTGCACTTCGGGCCACCCTGCGAATACAACACAACCCCGCGCGACTCTATATCAACCCCGGTACCGCGTCCGAAACGGGACGCGGACAGGGGGAAAGTTAAACCAAAAATAACAAGAGGTATAAGAAAAATAAAACTTAATAAATAAATAAAAAAAACAAAACCGAAAAAAAAAAGGGAGAGGAACTACAAACACCTCGCCTCCCCCGTAGGTCGGGCCCGCCGCCGCGCCCATTAACAAAACCGAGGGGGATAGCCCCGTTGGGCCCTCAACCCCTCAGGTTCTGCTCCACGCTGCTCCGCTGCCGCTGCGCCGACGCCCTGCTGGCCTCGATCCCCGGACCTCCGTATCGTCAACCCAGTGCCGTAACCTATAGGGCTAAGCCCAAGCTTGAGACAACCAGGCGTGGATTCCAATATAACGTGGTGCCGCGCGGCACCCAGGCCTGGGAAGAACAGCCCAAGCCTCTCCTTCCTCTTCAACCGTACGTGCGGCCGCCGAGTATCCGCGCCGTCTTGTATATGTCACGTCGCGGCCACCATTCACACCTTTCCACGTGTCGGACCTACCGCCAACCGAACGCAATAAGAAAGGGAAAAAAAAAAACGGATCTCTTAATCCTTAATTTAATCAATAAACAAAAACAAAGTCGGATAATTATACCGGCGTCGCGATTAATTTTAAACGGGAAAATCACACGCGCGCCTTAAACTGCGCGCCCACTCACCCTTCCTACTCAGACAGACCTTAGCCTGCGTGCGGACGATCCCCGTGTTTTCCGCGCAGGCACTCAAAAATCCAAGTTAGCCAAACCTTCCTGTCACTTGCAAAAACCAGGGCGGATACCCTTGTAAGGGTATTCGCCCCGACAACGCCGTGGAGGTTCCCGGTCTAGGAGTTAAGTTGACCCCAATGCTCCTCCATGGGAGAAAGCGGGTCTCAGTGAGGACGCGTGGAGAGATCTGTACACGCGGTAGGCTTGTCTCCGTTGTGGCCAATACATCCATAACCAGTTCAAGTGCTGAAACAAGAAGGTGACCGAAAAGATCCCGCCTATGATGGGGCAGGCGTTGGGATCCTCCGCTCCCGTTGGCAGCAATGTGACCAGCAGTTCTGACACTGCTCCGGGAAACACATCGGGCCAGTAGGAATAGTAGCTGTTCCTGCTAGGGTCGAGGTGGTGGACACGCCCTCACCATCTCGAGAGATGGCCCAAGCTACTGAGTCCATCGTCGTTCCGCAAACACATTCAGACCCATCGAGCCTCTGTTCGATGAATGTGTTCGAGTCCTTCGAGGAGCTAGAGGAGTGGTCTAGATCAGACCCACTAGCTACTTGGACGACATTGGCTAAAGCCCCTAAGGGAGAGATGTTCGTCGGCGAGGTAGTCATCGGCGGCCGCAAGGCCGGGGCCTATTATGACACTTGCTCGACAAGGAACATTAGTCGCGCGTGTGTTGAGAGACTGCGCTTACAGGGGCGAGTGCAGCGCCTGAGTTGACCTGTGGAGTCGATCTGTGCCAACAAACAACGCATGGTAGTTAATGACTACCTCCAAGATGTTGAGTGTTGTTTCCTGTACGCGGGAGGGAAACTGAGACATTGCGTCTCGTTCCTAGTGAGCGATGATCTCCCTATGGATATCTTGTTAGGTATGTACTACCTCTCCGTGGCACAGCCCCAGTTTGACTGGGACCAAAAGGTGGTCAAACACACTTTGCCAGGTGGGGGGACTGCCACATTACGTAAGTTTAAGGCTAGTAGTCTGATCGAGTCCTACGGATGCATGTGTGCGGCCGCGTTCTACAATTACTATAAGCAAAATTCGGAGGAGGGTATGTATCTAGTATATGTCTCTGCAGCAAGCGAGCCGGTGAAAATGTCGCCGGAGATAGAGCGAGTTGCCCAGTACCCTGATCTATTTGAAGAGCCTACAAGGGTTGTTGAGAGGGAGGTCGTCCACGCGATAGAGATTATCCCAGGGTCTAGCAACCCAAAGGGTAGGATCTACCGGATGTCTCCAGGCGAACTTGATGAGCTTCGCCGGCAACTCAAGGAACTCGTAGAGAAGGGTTGGATCCGACCGAGTGTCTCTCCTTATGGTTCTCCAGTCCTATTCGTACCAAAGAAAGGGGGCACTCTGAGGATGTGCATTGACTACAGGGGCCTCAATGCCATCACTGTCAAGAACTGAGCGCCCCTACCGTGCATCGATGAATAGTTAGATTGAGTGCAAGGGTTCCGGTACTTCAGTAAGATAGATCTGAAATCCGGGTACCATCAGATTGCTATACGGCCAGAGGATCAGCACAAAACCGCCTTTCAGACCAGGTACGGTTTGTACGAGTTTGTGGTGATGCCTTTCGGCCTTTGCAATGCTCCTGACACCTTTCAGCACGTGATGAATCGGATCTTTCATGACTACTTGGACAAGTTTGTCATCATGTACCTCGATGACATACTTATCTTTAGTAGAACTGTCGAAGAGCACGTAGCTCATTTGGACAAAGTCCTTAGTCTCCTTCGACAACACAAGTTCAAGATCAACGGTGAGAAGTGCGAGTTTGGCCGCACCCGTATCTTGTACTTAGGTCATGAGATTTCGGTGGAGGGTTTGAAGCCCGATGAGTTTGGCCAGCATTCGTGATTGGCCGCGTCCTCAGTCTGTGACTGAGACAAGGTCCTTCTTAGGGATGACCGGCTACTATCGCAATTTTGTGAAGAGCTATAGAATAGTTGCCGCCCCTTTGACAGACCTAGCCCGACTTGACACCCCATGGGACTGGACAGCCAGGTGCGAGGCTGCTTTCAGACATCTGAAGCATGCGTTGACGCATCATGAGGTCTTGAAACTTCCTGATCCTAACAAGCTGTTTATAGTAACCATGGATGGCATCCAATATGGCATTGGTGCCGTGCTAGCGCAACAGGAGGGGCCAAAGTTGAGGCCAGTCGAGTACATGTCCAAGAAGATGCCGTCTCAGAAGTTGGCAAAGTCCACTTATGAGAAAGAGCTCTACACGATTTACAAGGCACTGACCCATTGGACACATTACCTCCTTGGGAGGTTCTTCATCGTCAGGACTGATCATCAGACCCTGAAGTGGATGAGAACCCAACTAGTGCTCTCGGATGCATTGAAGCGCTGGATCGAAGTCATTGAACAGTATGACTTCGAACCGTAGTATCTCAAAGGGGAGTACAACAAAGTTGTTGATGCCTTATCGCGCAGGCCTGATTTCTCTGGTGCGCTGATTACTGAGTTTGAGCTCGCAGACGATGTCACTCGCTCTTTGGTGGAAGCCTATCGTGAGGACCAGTTTATGTCTGAGATCATTCGCAGACTCGAGGCGAAGGACAAAGTGACTTTTGTCGAGTTCAAGTTGGTCAACGACTTGCTGTTCCTTGAGAAGGCCGGGAATAAACATCTGTGTGTGCCTAATCGGGAGTCTTTGCGCAGTTTATTTTTAGGAGAGTGTCATAATGCCACCGGCCATTTTGGCTACAAGAAGACAACAACTAATCTGCTGCAGCAGTTCTGGTGGCCCACGATGATGAGAGACGCTAAGCTGTACGTGGAGACTTGTCAGATCTGTCAGAGGGACAAGCCACGTACACAAGCTCCTCTTGGGCTTCTGAAGCCCCTTCCGATTCCGGAAAGGCCTGGTGAGAGCCTGTCCATGGACTTCATGGATACGCTGGTCACCAACAAGAGTGGAATGCGCTACGTCTATGACATTGTGGGTAGGTTTAGTAAGTACGCTAGGTTAGTCGCAATGCCAGCAACAGCTAAAACTGAGTATGTGATCAAGCTGTTCAAAGAAAACTGGGTCAGAGATTTCGGACTGCCTAAATCTATAGTTAGTGACCGGGATGTGCGATTCACCAGTGAATTGTGGAAAGATGCAGCTGCGGAATAGGGCACGCAGTGGCAAATGACATCAGGCAATCACCCAGAGGTGAATGGGCAGGCAGAGCAGTTAAACCGCGCTGTACAACACCTGCTGAGGCATTACATCAAGCCAAATCAGGTGGACAGGGATGAGAAACTTGCTCTCATCGCCAGGCTGTACAACAACGCTGTGCACAGCGCTACGGGAGTGAGCCCGAACAACTTGCTACTAACTTTCAAGCCTAGACTGCCTTTGGACTTCCTCCTACCTTAGAATCGGACATCTGCTGCACCAGGGACCTGCTTACCGTTATGAGCGCCTGATGCAGCAGGCTGTTGAGCAAATGCATAAAGCACAGGCGGCGATGATAGAGTCAGAGAAGAAACACCACCGCCCCTCTACATTCTATGTAGGAGAAAGAGTCTGGGTTAAGTCCTCAGAACTGGGACTGGAGCACGGGATCTCTCGCAAGCTCATGCCACAGTACTTCGGACCATGGGAGGTTCTAGATGTCGTTGGGAATGAACCGGATGGTCCTTCTTACGTTATTCGCATTCCTGGTCACCTACGCACTTACCCTGTTTTCCACGCCTTCAAGCTTGCACCTTTTAGAGAAACAGACCAGTTTCCCTCTCGTCGCTCAATGTTGCCCCCAACCATGGATGGAGAGGTTGACATCGATGACATCGTTGACCACAAGGAAATGCCAGTTCCAAGACCGGCAGGCAGGGGACGTCCTCCAAAACCGACGCTGCAGTACCGGGTTCGGTTCAGACATCACACTAATCCAAAGGAGGATCGATGGTTTACTAGGGAGGAACCGATGCAGACCGCTCTTCAGGTTGTGGCCCAATATGAAAAGTCTATGCAGAAGGGAAAGCGCCAGATTATTGAAGATTAAACTTCTCAGAGGACTAGCGAAGTATGGAGGAGGGAATGCACGGCACAAGGCCTCGATATGCCCTACTGGGCCCTATCTACAGCTTAGTCGGCCGCCCTAAGTGAAGGTAGGCTCGACCGAGGCCTACAGGCCTATTTTGGGGTCACCACGCAATTGGGGAAATTCAGGCAGTTGCGCAGCGCCAGTTGGTTGAAAGCGCCCAGGCCCTGGCCTCCTTTATCAAATGCATCTGAGTCGGGCCCTGGGCGAGATACGCAGCACGGACCCAACTCAGACTGTAGGCAGTTGGGCAAGGGTAACTGTCACAGGCCCTGGGCTGATTCGTTTGGATTGGGGCTCAGCCTCTGTGGGCCTACCGGAAGCTTCAGGGCAGGGGCCCGACGCAGCCAGGCTGCACGCAAGGCAGGCAGGCCGCTTCCATTTAGGGAAGGGCCTGCCCACGCATTGGACATTTAGGAAAGGGCCTGCCTCTCCAATCGCGCCTCTTGCACACCGGCTGGATTTGCAGCCACGGCGTACCGGAAGACATAGTCAACGATCGCGACACTTGTTTCATGTCAGCATTCTGGACTTCTCTCATGCAGGAATCCGGCACCAAGATGAAACCAAGTTCAGCTCCGCATCCACAAACGGATGGGCAAACGGAGCGAGCACATCAAACCGCTCAAATGATGCTTCATACACTCATCCGTCTGGATCAGAAGGATTGGGTTGACCGCCTCCCCGACATCGAGTTCGCCTACAACACTTCGTTGCATCTGGCGATCGGCGTGACTCCATTCGAGCTGCACCACGGTGGCCGGAAAGGCCGTATCTTCACTGATCTTCTTCTCCCACGAACAACCGACATAGACGCTGCTTGCTCCCCCGCTTCTGTTCGGAAGTACAGGGAATTGTTGGCTCAAGCCCGTGCGAACATGCAAAAGGCTCAAGTTCGCATGCAGCAGTAAGCCAACAGGCGTCGCGTGCCATGTCCCATCCGCGCTGGTGATCTGGTGTGGGTCTCCACGGAAGAGTTTGCACTCGAGCAGGATGTTTCGCGCAAACTGCTTCCCAAGTGGTTTGGACCATGGCCCGTAACATCAGCCGCGGGCGATGAGAGAGATGGCCCCTCATTTGTGACCAACATCCCCCCGCATCTGACGGTCCATCCAGTCTTTCACGCCTCGAAGCCGGCGACATATGCACCAGCTAAGAGCGACGACTTCCCGGGCCGACGATCGCAAGATCCTCCATCTATGGATGGTCATCAGGAAGTTGACCGCGTCATCACGGATCGCAAGTACAGCAGCAAGCCTCGACAGTACAAAGTTACATTCAAAGCATGCGATCCCGACGACACTCGATGGATTTCAGGAGCAGATTTGAAAGCATCAGCATCCGCACCGCTGATCTACGCTCACTGCGAGCGACAAAGGTTAGCTAAGGGAACTTCACAACCTGCCCCTCCCACCCGGATTGTGGTCCATCCCTCAGACAGAGAGCTTCGCCCTCGCAAGTAAGCTCGGTGCACAGCCACACGGGCCTGCAGGGCCCGACCAGCGTTCTCAACATAAAAGCCTGAAAACAAAAGCCTACAGGCCCTGTGTCGTTTTCAGCCTAAAAGCTTGAAAACAAGGGCTTACAGGCCCTGTGTCGTTTCAGCCTGAAAGCCTGAAAACGAGGGCCTTCAGGCCCTATGTCGTTTCAGCCTAAAACAGGGCCTTCCAGGCCTTGAGTCTTTTCAGCCTGAAACGGAGGGCCATTTTCGGGCCCTCATAAGATCGACCTGCCCTGAAACTTAGGCACCAGACCAGGGTTTTAGCACAAGCCATTTTTGGCCTGTTTTCAAGACAGCCCTTGGTTGAACTTCAACGCCAGGGTCTGGCACGTTTTGGCACTGGCAAGAGCCGCCTCCTGGACGGGCCAGCACTATATAAGACTGGTCCGCCCTACAGGCTGCAGACAGTCACGAGGTAGTTCCTAGGAACTTCCCAGGCACTTCACGTGCACGAGGCAGGAGGCAGTCTTCAGTATTTGGCCGCAGCACTCTGGAGGAGCGCTGCAGTAGTAGTAGTAGCGTTAGCAGTAGTCTTCTGCGCTGGGGCTATTAGGAGCTAGAGTAGCAGTGGAGAGAGAGAGATGGTTGGCGGAGGCCAGGGAGACTTACCTGTGGCGCCATAGCTCCAGCTTCGTCTTCGATGTACCTGCAACAAGGCACCACCTTCACAGGTTAGTACCGGACTGTGAGAGAGAGAGAGTCCTTCTTCTTCCTCTTCTAAGTCCACCATTTCCTCCTCCCCCTCTCGCTACCTAACTTCTAAGTACCTGCAGACTGCAGACTACGAGAGAGAGAGATTGGTGACTTTGGGACTTGGCGACATTGGATCCAGACTCGACACTGGGATTCAGACATTCGACGAGGGAATATTTGGGGCCTGTGCCGAAGACTTGGTGTTGACGACATTCCCATCTTCCCCTCTTCTTCGTCTACCCCCCCTCCTCTTCGTCTGTGTATGGGTGGGGACCGACGCGTTCTTCCTGTGTGAGCGCCAGGCCCGTTCACGCCATGGAATGATGATGATGTATGTCTGGTCTGCATTGCAACATTGATTGTTCGGATCATCGGTATTTAAGCCTTCCGTTGTGCTATCTTGTACTATGTGAGAGAGGTCGGTTCTTGTTCTGGTCTGCACCTTTACAGTATGCGACAGGTGGTCTTCGGGTGTACAGAGGGGAGACATGGGAGTAAGTCAGGGGAGAGAGAGAAGGATGATGATGATGATGATGTGAGAGCACATACCTGGCATTGGCGATGGTCTGCATTGGGCGACATCTTCAAGTACTTCGTGATCTGCTGACGTCAGCAGTTGCATTGCCAATTAGTAGGCAGACTATAGCTGTGTAGGAAGTAGGCTGGGCGCAGAGCGCCAAGTAGAGAGATAGGGCCTGGACACTCATGTTGGTGGTGGCAAGAGCAAGCTCTCATTGACATTGGTTTTCAGTGTTACGATTCTTCATTGGTGTTATATTGGTGCATTTCTGCATCTGGACACTGTGATATTATCTGGCCTTCAATATGATTGTGCATTCTGGACATTGTCATCTCGCTAATGCTCATTTTCCTTGCAATATGCCGGATACGATAAATACCAAATAGCAAATGAGAGTCAACAAGGATAAGGAACCACAGACAGAAGAGCGAATTTGTAACGAGCACAGAGGCAGAGGACGAGGAGGGAGCAGAGGGAGAGAGAGAGTGAGAGCACACACACACACTCACTCACTCACGCGACTGAACTCGACCGGACGCAAACCAGAGGCTGAGGCACAAAGTCGAAGTCTTGGTTTCGAAGGCCCAAACAGCAAGTCACACGGAGTACGAGTACAGCAGCAGAAAACTGGTATGAGACTGGTCCCCGTACCGTACGGGGAGCCGGTATAAGTACCACTGGCATGTACGGTACCAGGGGCATTTCTGCAAAGGCCCCGAGGGCAGAACTGAAAAATGCGGTATTTGAAAGTGGCGCCCGAATTGCAGCATGGCGCCGGTTGTCCAAAATCCTACGGTACCAAAGGAGGGGTTTGGAAAAAGGGTGCCAGGCCGAAAACGGGATGCAGCCGGAACAGCAAAAAGATAGACCAGGGATTGAGCCCTGGCGGAGTCCGTAACACAATCCCCTCCCTCTAGAAGGCAACGTCCCGGCTGCCAAAAATCATGAAGCAATGCTGAAATCTGTGAAGGACGGGACGGGGCCGATCACTGGTTAACAAGTCGAAAGGGAAGAGGGGTATAATGTGGGTGGCATGGGCTGCGTGAGTAAGAGGGAACATGGTTTGGTACCGGTGAACAGAGTTGTCCTACTGATGAACTAGGGGGGTTGCAGGGAACAGGGTAGTCCTACAAATGAACTATAGGGACAGCAGGGAGCAGGGTAGTCCTACTGATGAACTAAGGGGACTGCATGGTTTGCTATAGGTTAAGGGGGAACAAAGTTCAGGGAACAGGGGACTTCTATTGAAGTTCTACTGGGTAAGGGAAACAATGGTCAGGGGAACAGGGGATGTCTATCAATGTTCTAGTGGGTACGGGAAACAATGGTTAGGGAAACAGGGATCTGCTAATGATGAACTAGGGGTGCTGCAGGGGGAACAGAGTAGTCCTATAGATGGTTGACAAGGGTGAAGAGGTAACGGGGTTTCCTATTGATGATCTAC